TATACTACTTGCTGTGAATTTCAGGGGCTTTAACATTGTTGTATACTACTTGCTGTGAATTTCAGGGGCTTTAACAAAGTGTTTTGCACAAACCTTTTCCAAATGAACAATGAAATCAGTATGACACTTGAGAACAGTCTGTTTCACACTCTGCCCAATTGGTGGCACTATAATGCATCAACAAACATACTTAATTACAGTGTTTACTAATGGTCCACTAATACTCCTTTCTCAAAACCCTCCCCCTTCCCTTCCTACTCTCTCTCCCTCTCTCTTGCTTAACCCACTAGCGTCTGTACATTTACAATCCGGGCAGCTTCATAATTGGAGCAAGGGCCAATCAGGGAACTTACACATACGCTGCGTGCCAAGGTCGACAAAATCACAGCGCAAGGTCTGATCTAGTGTCGCCTCACCAGGACACCCGAGAATTTTTTTTTTTTTTCCGTGGGTCTCATACGTGAAACACCCGTCGTAAGTGGGTTAAGGGGACCGTCCCTGGCAGTGGGGGGGGAATTTTGGGTCGGAGTGGTTGAAAATGAGTTATGGTCAGTTTCATATTCGTATATGAGAGTAGAATTACCCACGTGAATATGAACTTCCGCGGCGAAAAATTTGGGCAGCGCACGAGGCCAGAAACCCGAGTCCCATTGCCGCTGTGTCAGTGATTTTCACACTTCTGCACTCTCACTATACAGGAGTGAAAATGATGCATTGTATAATGACATTACCTATTGAAATGGGTCACAGGAAGATAAATGTGTCTTATTAAAACAGTTTTATACCAAAGTGAAAGATTTGATATGAAAGACAAAGAAAAATAAAAAATCATTATGCGACTTTTCAAATTTCTTTTCTATAAAATACAGTAGATATGATTCGATGTTGACAAATTCATCATACAAGTATGTTTAGGGTTCAATGATAATACATGAGCAGTTACAAGTCTGTATCTCCAAAAATAAACTCGCAACGAATAGATATTCACACGGACTGGAGGCTCGTCCACGTTCAAGGACGTCTCACAGGGACCCACGCGACAAAGCTCCAAGCTTTGCCACCGCTTTAGACTTTTCTGATTGCAATAGTTTTACGTATGCGCTTTCATTTGAAACTAAATAATCGATTAAACATCATTATGTCATTATAAATCCATTTACGAGAAAAAATAAATGTAAAGAAAGAGTATGATATAATTTATTCGTGTAAACTCGTAAAATCGGCCTATAAATATCTGATACCTATTGTTACATCACAAGAACAACGAATATAAGAGATTTGATATAAGAGATTTGTATTTCAAAATATTTTTGATCTATCAACGTTTTCTGAACGGTTATTTGTAACGAACACTAAACAATTCATTGTCCCTCCATAACAAGTACTCCGCTGGTGACTAAACGTTTATCGCTTGTTTCGAGGCAGAATCACGTGGTTAGGCGATGGGGAAGAAGAGTAGACTGGAATAAAAAGAAAATAAATAAATGAAATAAATAATTATGGATCTAATAAGTATATGCGCATATACGCATATACACGTGCACGACCATGTACCTTTACAATAATTTACATGACTATACACATGTAAACGAATATATACACAAGAAAACAGAAATAAGAGGCATAAAACACGAAACAACCAATATTATGTAACAGTCATATTGTCTATATTTGCCTCTTTTCACGGGAGTCATTTGCTTGTTTCTTTAACTCGGAGACTAATGATCATATCTTTACCTAACAAAGTGCGTTTGAAAGAGGAATAAGAGTAGTTTCTACAGTAATGAAATGGTAAAGATCCATATATGAAAAAAATATAAATAAAGATCTTCAAATATCCAACTTTTTGTTTGTTTTTCGATGTTTCTTTTTTCGAACTTCAGAAGATTCGTTGACCCGGAGTTTTTATCCGAATAAAATTTTGGATATATCTTTGGAAACCTAGTGCAAATGCGCAGACAACTACATCATGATTTTATTTAAATGGTGCTTACTTTTTTATACAAATTTTTCAAAATCGAAAAAAAGATTAAATATTATTTCTTAATTTTTTTTCTCTGGAAACTAAATCGAATTTCCATACAAATACGACGAAATTGTCTTAGGAATTCATTGATGTTCATTCACATTTTTTTCCATGACACAATTCATATTTCTCTGAGAAGAGTGGCCTTCTGCACACACATGGAAAAAAATTGAAAAAATTATTTTTTGCAGGTGACAGCACCCAAGACATAGGAACCCCATAAATTTGGTATCAAAAGATTTGGAATATTAAAATACATGAAATGTTCAAAAATCAAGAAAATAGGACATTTAATTATTAAGAAATATTTACTAATATGACACTCGCACCCCCATAAGTAGCCACGGCCCTTTTAGGGACGGTCCCATTAATATACACAAACACACACATATATGTATATGTAAATATAATTAAATTTATATATATATAAACATATAAATAAATATACCCATAAACATATATATATATAAAATA